TCAAAATTATGCCCGTGTTTATTATGCTCCATGAAGCAAAAAATAGGATGCTTCTGGTAAAAACAACAACAACAAAATCCCAAACCAGATATTCATGTGACATTGGCCCACGTGCAGGTCAATAGAAAAGGCACAGGATTCAGGGGCGACTGGCTCCTACTTCTCCACTCGGTGTTGCTTTTCTACTCACATATACGTTGCCTTTTATCAGTTATTTCTTTCTAACTTACTTATTTGGGAATACTTAAGACCAGGACTGAAAGAATAACACTTGTTGGATGTTGTTAAATCATCTGTACTAACAAAAATAACTTCTGGCAAGCAGAATTTTTGTAAATTTGCTTCCAAGTGGTACATACAACAACTGTTGCTTATGTCCAGCTGAATAGAGCTTCCTGGAAAACATCCCTAACAAATGGCCTCCTGATTACGTCCCCATTAGGAGGAACATACTGTATCTGATTGAAAAGACTGGGAGAAAAAGAAATAGCCATAGACACACCATTATGATGTAAAGAGACAGACAAAAGCAATGCACCTTTGCTCACTTGAGGCACAAAATCAAAAGGGGTATGTGTGGGAAAATCCAGCTTATCTTCCAAAGTCTTTTTATTGCCTTTTCTCAGATCAATGACTTACACAATACAGTATCTTCCTGGAACCTGACTGATGTTTTCTGGCACTCTGAAGAAGTGATTTCAAACATCGAGAATACCTGGGTTCTTGTCCTATTTCATGCCCTCTGTCTGTACCCTGTCAGAAGGTAATTGATGACTTCAGTCACACTGCAATGCTGATTTCCTCCCTTGGATCAATACACACTTGAACAGGTTTTTGGTGCTGAAAGAATCACAACTCTATCAGTCTTACTGACTGGCACCTTATATACAGTGCTAGTATAAAATAAGTGAGATATTTCCACACATACATATCAACTTCAAACAATCCACACCATCAGGCAGCTCACAAAAAATACAGGAGAGAGAGAACTGGGGAAAGGGAACTGTGAAGCAAAAGGAAAGAACCACCCAAGGGCTGGTGAGGACGACTCAAGTCAAAAACAATACAGAGTAAATAAACTTCAGTGGCATAGCAGGCAATTTGAGTAGAACTGCAAAAATATCTTTTTCTTTTTTCTTAAATACATGGCCCATGGGCCTGAAAATACAGCTGAGGACTCCAGTGTAGATAAACTTCTACTCTGCAAGAATATCACTTGCTGTTCGTTATTTCAGAAAAAAAGGATGACTTCACCTCAAAATATGTATTCAAATCTAGCCCATAAGGCTATTTTAAAAGATAATTTGGACGTTGAAAGTGTACCTCTAGATGTAAGTATTAATTTATCATATTTATATAGCAACTTCATCATCCCCAAACTTCCTCAAGCATTTCACAATCACATCTATGCAATACAGTGCAAATACAACCACTGTTAGGGTGGTTTCTATAATAACCAGAGTACAGGATATCACTCAGCAATTAAAGAAAAAAGAAGAAGGAAAAAATAAAAGAGAAAAAAGGAGCTTGTGGTCAGGTCAAAGCAACAACCAGTTAGACAGTGCTCAGTCTTCCCAAACTTCCTCAAGCGTTTCACAATCACATCTATGCAGTACAGTGCAAATACAACCACTGTTAGGGTGGTTTCTATAATAACCAGAGTACAGGATATCACTCAGCAATTAAAGAAAAAAGAAGAAGGAAAAAAAAAAAGAGAAAAAAGGAGCTTGTGGTCAGGTCAAAGCAACAACCAGTTAGACAGTGCTCAGTCTTCAACAAAAGAAGCCTGAATTTACTACCTCCATAGATCCACCGCAGTCGATCCATATATGTATGTGTGACCTACATACACATTATGTGTTTGTAAAAAAGTCTGTTCTGTTTACACTGAGCTACTTTATGTACCTAACCTCAGTGCAATTCAGGAAAAAAACAAAGATGCATTAGTTCCTTATATAGTAAAGGGAGAAAAAGAAGTGACGCCAGGAAGGACTGATGTAACAGGCCTAGGATGGTGATCTAAAGTGGATGTTGTGAAAAACTCCTTAAAGCCACATGCTTCCTACCTATTCTAAAGATACACCTTTTTTTTTTTTTTCCCTCTGCAGTGCCAAAGGTCTGTTTAATTCTCGCAGGCTTAAGCAGCACAAAGAAATGAAAGAAATGGATGGCCAGAGGCCAGCGTTCAGGCAGGTCTGGCTGTGCAAAACAGCGCGTGCTTCCAGCGTGCACAGGAGGAAGCTGCGTGTGAAGGGGAACTGAACGGGGATTCATGTGGAAAAAAGAAACATAAGGGATATCATCCAGGAAATGTGAAAAGGGCAGCTGAGGCTGTGTCTGCAGGTCTGAGCAATCCTGCTCCTAGCCGTGGCTCCAGGGACCCCGCGGGCTGCAGCCGGGCTCTCCCGCCAGCTCCACAACACACGACAAGACGCGCGAGTCACCGCAACCCGCTTCCACCACGTACCGCCGTCCTAACATCCTCTTCTCTCTGCCTTAACCCACAGTGTTACTATCCAAGGGCATGGAAAACACCTGCATGGATGACAAAGACCTCCAGAATCACCAGTGGGATATGGTGCTGGGACAGCCTTGTGTTGCTTCCACGGATCAGCCTGGGATGCTGATGTGGGTCTTGCCCCTTGCTCATGTGATAGAAAGGAGAAGGGAGAGCTGGCAGACCTGTCCTGTTCACTCATTTTTCTTTCTCCCAGCTGTGCAAATAGCTAGGCAAAACCAGAAGAATTCCCCCAATAAAGCTCTTGATTCCACAACAACTATGTAGATGTCCTAGTTCCTGGCCAACGCCATTGTCCTATAAGGCTCACGACAGGCAGAAATTTTACTATTTAAACCCCTATTTATATCCTTCCACTTTCCAATACATTTACATTCAGGCCTGCACTTTCCCAAGCTTGAAACCCTCAGAAAACAGTGGAAGGTCTGGATTTTTAAATATTGAAAATGCTCTTTTATTCCCCCCTTTTATCAATGTGATTGTACCAACAAGGAAGGAAGCACACCAGCAAGCACTGATGTCAAACTTCAGCGTGGAGAGTCAGTGCTGCCACAACACATCTTTCTATCATAAGCCCTGCCATGATTATTGACTGCAAGAAAAACTATTGGTTATAAAAAAAGCTCTGATTTGTTTTTCTTTTTTAAATGCGTATTTACCTCTTAAGGAAAGATGTCTTAAAATTCGAACCTTAAACCTGAGACAGCAGAAAAAACAGTTCAAAGATTTTCCTGTTTTATAAAGCTCTGAATTTATATTTGGGGATCCGAACCACATGTACTCAGGTTGGTTGTCTGCTCTTGTTTTCACTGAGATAACACTGAGGCACTATCTGATCTGAGAGACCGGCAATAAAACCTAGTTGATATGAGACTTGTTAGATCATTACAAGATCCAAGTTCTTTTCCCAGTTTGGCCAATAATCTGCTGTATAACTTTGGGTTATTCTCCCTTTTCTGTGCTCTTCCTTCTTTTTCCTGTGTCTTCCTTGTCTAGTCACTGTCTGGGTTGCTATAATCCTGATGCTCTAAAGCTCTCAACGAGAACCTTGACATATTGTATGTAGTTTCACTAAAATACATATATTTTCCAATAGAGCGCCCTAATGAATAAACATGTAACCTAATGTAACCTGTAAACATGTAACCTAATGTAACCCCCACTAATGAATAAACATGTAACACAGCTATTACATACAATTACCATGTTTGAGTATGTATTTATCAGCTGGAACAAGACAGTTAAGATATGGCATATCCACCTTCATTTCCATATATGTAAAAGTAGTAAAAGCAGAATTTCTACCATTTCAACAGCATGAGATTTTGAGATAGACTCATCCAGATTTCAGTGAAGTTATCAGCAGCATAAATATATTGGTCAGGGTAAGACTGGCAAAAGTGGGGGTCTAAATTTGTACTTGGTAGCTCAGAGCTCTAGATGAGTCGAAAAATCCTAAACACTTGTGAATTCCATCTTTTACTTAGAATATGTCTGCAATAAGTTCTGCAAATCTAACAGCTGTGCAGTCATTACAATGCAAAATATATAAACAAAGTACGGCTGGATTTTGTCCTTTGCTCTTCCAAGCTATCATGAACTTAACAGTTAAAACTGCAATTTGGAGATACAAAAGAACGAGGTTCCAAGGGCTAATGCAATAGTCAGTTTTGCACGTATGCATTATTTCCTATGACTGTTTATCTGATTAAATGTACAATTAACTGAACATGTCTAACCCCATTTTAAACAGGAACATGACGTGTAAGAAAACAGAGCTAGATGTTACTGGTGTATTTGCTTTTGCATTTCTTGATTTCAAAGTTCAACACTAACTTTAATTGTTTACTTTTCAGTGTTTCATGTTTTACAGAACAACAACATTACTCCAGATAAACACAGCCTTTCCACCCTAGAATCATCCAAATGCTTTACAGAAGTGAGAAATAATTCCTTTATTAAATAAAGAAATAAAAAGCTAAAACAATGGTACAGGCAAACAATCAGTGAGAGAGACAAGAATATACCACTGATCTACTGAACCCATTTTGTTCTTAAAGGCAAGAGTATTCATTCAAATACTGAATGGGAAGCTTTCAAAAAAAAATGTTTTACTGAGATATGACATCATCCCCTCAAAAAAAGGCAAGATGATCTGTTTGGCTATAGTATTTAGATTTTTTTTTCTCAAAACCCTTCACACATCTACCCATCAAGGGCTAACCCCTCTCTGACCCTATGCCCTCCTTCTGTACATGAAGGGAAGCACCTCTGCCCCTGCAACAACTCCCAGGCTCTCAGAACCTCCTCGAGTACCTTGCCTGAACAATAAAACTCCACAGATGAAGACACACCATCACTGAAAGCCAATCACTTACCTGTACCTTTGACTACACACTACTCCTACCGAGGGGCATTTCTTTTGCCTGTCTCTGTTCTGTTCGTTATCTACAGAGCCATCCAGCCTATGTGTGTACAGTACCATGTCACAGTGCAGCTCCAAGTTCAGGTCTCCTTTATTAGTGTGAAGTCGTACATAGCCCTTCTTCTTCACATATTGGTATCTTACGACATCCTCTTCAATAGCAGCTGTCTCAAAGCAAAATGCAATAATTAGCTCTTTGGAAGTTTACCCATTTGTCTTTGGAAATCACAGGAAAAAATGACTAGATTCTAATGTCTGACCTGTGCCCCTGGGGCACTGAGTCTTTAGGGATTGCACTCCACAATTCACCTATGATAACCTCACTTTGACCTTTCTATGCAAAATCATCTCCACTCCAGAAAGCCACCAACTCTGCCACAGCCAACAATATCATCTATATTTTAAGTCACAAAAACATTCAGTATTGTATACTATAATTTTCAAGTCATGCCTACCAATCATGGACACTGCTTTGAAATCAAAATGTTTCTTGTCAAACTTGTAAGCCAAGCAGGCAGTCATTAGTCAACCACAAATTGCTGACATACAAGGACCTACCCAGTCCTGAAAACACATGATGCCAAGTTACTGGAGACATTACTGGAAAGCCAAATCAGAGGACTAGTCTAGGATGATTCCACTTCTGTTTTGTGAAAACATCCAGTGCAGATATTTTTAACATTCTGAAAGCTTTATCTCCAAATCATTGAAATCCACCATGTACAGACAGTGAATTTGGTAAACATGCAATTTTAGCACTGTGTTCAATCTTAGCCTGTGACATACGCCTACTATTGCAGTGTCCAAAGCCAAACCTGTCTCTTCAGCTTGGAATACTAATTACTCAGTTATTTAAGTGATATTGAAATTTAAGAAGTTCTGTATCTTTGAATTTAAGCTGGTGGATAAAAGTATTTAAATATAAATAATTTCTAGTATTAAATGCATTTTTTGTGTAGAGTTTAGCCTTGAAAAGCAGTAAATAAAAAGCCACTCCCACATTTTTTTTGCTGTCATTCTAACCAAAACCTGACTAAGCCAAGAAAATGGCAAAGATTTCCATTATGTACCAAAAGATGGTACATAATTTGAGGGGAGATTATGCTTCATTCCTAACATATAAGTGGACATCCAATTTTGTCGTCTAGGGGCATAGTAAACACTTCAATAATTTCAGTTCAAGGTAAATACCTGACATTCAAACCCAAAACTAATTCATAATTTCTCCATTATTTTGAAAATGAGATCACCAGAAAGTAGGGATATATCTGCTCAGGGAACACATTTCCAAGGCATCATTACTAATCAATCACCAATGTGCCCCTGCAGCCCACAATGTACATGTGCTAGGGAGCACACTTCAAAACTGGACAGAAATGGCTCGCAGATAGGTAGTTCTGGTACCTGCTTCATGAGTGGTTTCTGGCACCATCGCAGTGGATGTGAAGGAAGCACTTACTGCTCCAGTGGAATAGTGGGCCTGTTTACAGAGAAAAAGAGAAAAGAAAAGAAAAGAAAAAAGAAAAAAAAATCCATCTTAAAATTATTTTCTCCATACTATTTAAATACTAGAAACAGAAATTACATCTGTGGCACCCTTCTGAAGGCAGACTTTCCGCTCCAGTTCCTATAGGATGAAACAAATGCACAATGCAGTGATATTTCCCCATCTGTTACCCATAACATTTGCTCCGATTACTTTCTACTTAAGGCTGTCCAGGCAGTGAGCTGAAGGGGCTCACTGCCCCCAACAGCAGTTCTGTACATTACTATGCAAAGATTTTATCATCAGAAGATATTTGTATGTCCACAGGTGGAGATATGAAAGGAGTACTGCTGGCAAGACATCTGTAAAAACTGCCAACGTTGCTGAGTAAGTGGCAGGAAGATCCAGCAAACTGTGGTGATGGGGAGGAGAAAAACAAACCAACCCGCTCCCACGCACAGACCTTCCGCGTGCACTGGGGCCGTTCCTTAGTTCCCAGTGTCTATTTTGAGTTACTCAACTTATCTGCAGAAAGGAAATGCGAAAAACACACATGGATTTTATAGTGAATCATAAAGACCAAATGAACCTGGAGACACTTCCAGCTGGTCTGGAGCAATGCCTCGCAGAGAGGTCTTCTGGTCATGGGTCAGTGCTCAACCACTAGGTCACACCACATCCGATGTGAGTTCATAGTTACATCCAGCAAAATTATTGCCTGACAATCTGGCTCCCCAACAAAGAGGTCGCATTCTTTCTTACCTTGATTTTTTCCCAACATCTTTGGTTTTCTTCTAATGCTAGGATGCATATATGATCCTACTTCTATGTCATGTACCTTCACTAATAAATCTATCACTAAGGCCCCTCAAAAAGCTATGTGCTGCATTGCAATTCATTTTCATGTAAGTAATCAAAGCACAAAGACACATATGCCCCAGAATTATTAAAGCAAAGAACACCCAGTCTTCTCATTTCATACAGCCTTTGATGCAGGAAATCAAGAGGTAGATGAATTAATTCTCTTGACAGCCATGAACACACAGTAATATGCACTGGGAAGAAGATCCTTTAAAATATTCCACTAAAATTCCTGCATTCCCCTAGAAAAAATGTCAAAGCAGCTGTGGATGATTTATATATTTGCCCACACCAGAAATGATTCATTTGCATTGCCCTTACGGTGTGTTCCCTCTTGCCAGTAACTGCAGGAAACAATGATAAACAAATTCAAAGCAAGAGATTACAACCTGAGGGAAAAAAGGCTCAGCCAGCACATACACCATAACTACATCATGAAAACTCCTCCTCCTTATAGTAACCAATTTCTGAAATGTATTTACAATGATTTAACCAAGAAAAACTCACTAACATGTACCATGTATTACAAAGGAATCTCATTCTCATACGATTCTCATTCTAATCTATGACAAATTTCTGTATAGGAAAAACAAAAGGAATAGTGTCTGTTCATACTGCAACATGCCTCCTAAGCTGAAAAACCTCTATTACTGATTTTGAAGTCAGTCAGTACCAAACTATAAACCAGATCAACTTACTGCATTCAGTTTATCCACTTTTTTCTTTTCAGGAGCCTTCATGGTAGCTGCTAGAATATCATCTCCTTTGAATTCCTTATAAAGTTCCAGTAAAGTCTCTCGTGTCTCAGTATTTGTATTTTTCAAATAGTAAGATGGATCTAACTTTGCTTTTTCTTCCTCTAGACAAAATCAAAACATTTGAAATTAAACGACAAGTTCTATTTTTTTCTCCGTCCTCTTATGTATGTTGTTAGAAAAACTTTCAGATATTATTTTTACTTTTTTAATATAATGGTCTAGTAAAAATATTAATTCCAGTCAAAATAGTAACAAATGGCAATGCAAGATGCTAAAGACAGTATAATTTGAAGTATGGCATAATAAATAAATGTCGGTCTGAGAAAGAACAACAGAAAATCAGCTTCAAATCAATTACTGCAAAAATTTCCTCAAAATCATTAAAATGATCTAAGTTCATGCAAATCTAATCGAATTACTTTTATAGAAGAATAAAAGAAATGGTTGAGTGCAATATGAACTTCTATTGTTTGTCTTCTCACTGAAAGATGAGGCCTTTGTGATTGTGATATTGTGATATTAAAAATCCAAGGTCAGATATTTATTGTGGGAAAGAGGATGGTGGAGCACACTGTAGAACTTGGCTGTTTTTATTTTTATAAATTCCACTTGTCCTATTTTGGTATGCCTACTATCTGCTGGAATTTAGCTATTTAATCTCTGAAAATTTAATCACTGAAAATAAGCGTGAATACACAAAGATGTACACAAAGAGATGTTTTCCTGCAGAATTAGCAGCTTAGAAGAGAAAGAGGAACATAGTAATACCCAGAAAAAGAACTTGCCTAGAACCAGCAACTATATCCCATTAGAAAGAGTTCTAAAAGAAGCCACAAGGCCTTAGGAAAGATTTTCCCCCTTTCAGCAGTTTAATATTAACATATATCTCTAAGCACTTACTTAAGAAAAAAAATTGTATTTATTTTTGAGGATTAAAATAATTCAGGGAATATTTTAATCAATTTTCACCTTGAAAAAAATTACTGGCATCCATACAGAAGGATAGACCATACATCAATGATACAGTTAACACAAGAGAGCCTATCACACAGAGTAGACAGGTATGAAAAGATGTAGGTTCCTATTTTTTGAGGAACTTGTTGATAAACTATGATAAATTGTTTTTCATCCTTCTCTAACATCTCTCTCCACCTAGTCTGTCTATCTATCTATTCTTAAATGGCATGGAAAGTGTTCTGTGTTTGTACAGCACCCAACTGAGTTAATCATTTCTCAAATAATCCATTTCTTTGAAAATATATAAACATCTTTTAATGTGAAAGGGACAGTCTTAACAAGTTATTCATGTTAAAATATTTGTCCATTGGGAAAACTGTGTCAATTCATAATGTCCTTGGAATTTGCATTTTAAGGGTGGCATTTTCTCAGCTTATCATCAATTCATACTTACCCGGATCAATTACTTTTAAGTTGTTCTTAACATGAAAGAAGTTAGAGACGTTGAATTTATCCAAGTTTGTTGGGTCCTGAAAATAATTAAAAATACAAATATCAGAGAGCTTGGTAAGCGCATGTTTCACAAAACAAACTAATTTGAAGGCTAGACATCAGTAAAATAAGCCAAAAGCAATCAGGAATGGAAAAAAAGGCACAACCAGATTCTTAGAGAGAGAATAAACTGCATACTCTCCAAATCACAGGAAGATAAGAAAGATGGGTTAAAAAAAAAAAAAACAAGAAAAAACACCATTTTTTAAAAAAAACAGTCAACCCCAGACTTAGTAACTTTAGGGAGACATTATCTGGAATTTTATACAAACATCATTTTATACATATTTTGCTCTGCATTCTGCCATTTGGTACAACGTGGGCAAATTCCCAATAGCCATCCCTTCCCATTCCTCACAGCGCTGCCCATGCTCTGTGAATTTCTGTAATGTATTTCAAAATGCACATAGCCTCAGAGTAAATATGCAGATTAGTTCTTTGCATTCAGAACTTTCATTCTTTTTTTCTATAGTGAAATTTGTATTTATGGAATTATATTAATAAAAAATGTAATAAAAAGTGGAATGATGAAAAAGTGGTCACTAAAGGAATGAACAATAAAATCCACAGTCCATTAAGAGTGGATGAGACAGGGAATTCACACTGGTGACCTAGGTTACACTATCCTATTACTAAGCAGCCCTCAATACCCTCTTATAAAGATTTCAAGGCTTATTCTTCAAGCTCCTCTGTGTCACAGGAGGTCACAAAAACACCCCACAGAATATCCAACCATTTCTGGAAATTTTAGCAGTATCTAAATTCAGGATAAAAATAATACAACAAATTATGCAAAAGATTATAACACCAATACGAATAGTATAATCCCCTCTAAATTTAACAGAGCTTCTCAAACCACTATTGTCAATGACAATTCCATCTTTGCTAAAATAATGGTTAATACCAGCAGAGCTGGTAGCTCCCTTGCAAGTTTAATAATACAATCATGCCTCTCATTCATCCCTGATACTGTATGCTTCCGGTGCAGGGTACATTTCCAGTTTTATGGCTGATAATAAAACCAAAACACGGTTAGGAAATCAGGCTGCATAAGCCTGCTCCCTAATGGTGACCTCCCTGTTTTTCTCTGTCCCCTTTCCTTGTTCTCCTACCACAGCCACCCTGAAAGATCTTCATCAAGACATAAGATGCCAAAAAAAAGGCAATTTAAGATACACCATTGAAACAGGTCTTTTTAAAATAAATCTACCAAAAAATACAAAATCTGAACCTACTTTTAAATTATTTTTGTATGCTCTCACTCCTGCAACTAGGTGTAATTACTTTTCTGTGTCAACAAAAACATGGCCCTCCTCACGTATATTTTTCTGTATGTATGACTGGTTTCAGCCTTGCACGCTGACAGTCAACAACGTGCACAGACAAAGTCCAGACACAGGTTTAGTTTCTGCCTCCTCCCGGATATTCTTCACTGATCATAAACTGCAACATTCACTGACAGAAATTATGGTCTTGCACGTAAATGAGCCACCACTACAGGTAAAGAAAGCCAGACTGCTTATCCGTTCCAGGGAAGGAGAAAATAATCTGGGTATTAATACTAATACAGATAAATGGATTTACAGCAAGCTGCATTTCTGCCACTCGTGGCAAAGCTGAAGGGCAAGATTCACTCCTGAAAAAGACTTCTCATATGACATGAAGAGGGCGGAAGAGAGGACAAGCGACAGCAGGAAAGATTAACCAAGTAATGTTTTCACTCTGCTCCTCTAAATACAGCTTCTTGATTTACTGGTCTTTCAAAATTAAAAAAGGACATCCAAATCACCAGTTCCCTCTCAGGTGTTTTGCAGAGGGTATGATGAATCAGCTTAGTTCCCACTGTTTCACAGTCACAGCTCATGTAAATGCTTACTAGTTTAACTAGCATAATTGCTGGTATTGAGCAACTCTGGACAAAGTGAAAACAAACAAACCAAAAACAAGGGAAAAAAGAAAGAAAGAAAAACAACAACTTAAAAAAGTTATAGCTTCTTTCTGAGGACTCTCCTGAGAGTCTTCACCAAGCTCCCATTGGCAGCTCAGCCATGAAGGATACTGAACTACTGCTCCTTCATATTAGGGACCCCAGCCCTTCTGCTTCCCAAGACCCTACGGAGCCCGAAGCCACCATGACCAAAATGACACCCCATGTCCCGGGCACTGCCCCTCATTACATTCAGGTCCACCATTTACTCAAATGGTCGTTTCTATTGAGAAGGTAGACAACTTGGAAGCATCTTCCCAAACTGGTTTCCCTCTGCTGTTGGAGGAAAAAGAAAAAAAAAAACACAAAGAACATTCCACAAGTTGAATTTTGATTGTCAGGTTACATAGGACAACTCATGCAGAGACTCCTCCCTCTACAACACGTTATTATGAAATACCAGGAGAAGTTTGATTAGAAATAGATAAACATGTGTACCAAGTCCAGGAGTAGTGAAGTGAACATTAACTTAAACACAAGATACCATTTGCTCCTACTGACCCCAATAGCAGAAACAGATCTAGCCAGTCCAAGCTGCGCTGCAGAGAATACAAACTAATGTCTCACTGCTGGTGATGAGTCCTACCAAGGAAGGTAGGCATTTTTCGAGGTAGCTTTATGTAAATGTAAAGAGCGCCCACGCTCTTCAGGCTTATCGCTTCAGGAAGAAGATTGTCTCCACATTAATAATCAGCCTGGCAACTTGCACTCGGGGCTGCAGTGACAGTTCCTGGGCGCAGAATCAAAACAGTTGAAGCAAGACGGGAATGCTGACGCTGCAGGGCTGGAGAGGCTCGCAGGCCTGCGCCCAAGAGCGCTGAGCTCCGGCACATCAACGGCCTCTCCTTTCCAGGGAGAGGCTGAAAACACAATTATTCAAGGAACAGTCCAGTTCCTGTTAAGATTAAGGCCTATGACATGAAGACTACTGGATGATTATTACAAATTTCTGCCTTGCTTCATGAATCCACCATTCACCAAGAGGTACAAGAGCAAAGGAAACGCCAGGTTATAAGGAAGAATCCTGAGCACCTTCTGCTTATTCTGGTTTGCAATTGGTGTTTAGCTGAGTAGTAGCAAGGTTTGTCTTTGTTCAGATTTGAAGTATTTTGTTATCATTGAAGAATATCACTTTGCTGTTTAAATATTACCTTACTGTGGTTGGAACCACAGTAAAAGAAGCAATGTTTGGAAAGAAGCAACGTTTGGGTGAGCGCGCTGAAACCGGAGACTCAAACAAACCCTACAGAGCACAGCAAATTGGCCTACTTTGGTTCCTTTTACCCACAGTAATTTGAATATGTATTTTTAAACATGCTAACAGTCTCATGATCTTTCTAATTAAGACTATGAACGACAAACTAAAATTTAGCAAATTACTCACACAGATACTGACTTCAAAGGGTTGCCAACTATCGTGATTATTATAAAGCTCATATTGGATGTTTTCGTGGAGGTTGAGCTGTAAAAACAATCTTGAGTTTTGTTCCACTTTTTCTCCCTCACATCCTTTTCCAGTTCACCTACTTAGAGAAAGAGCTTAAAATTGATTCATCTTAAGCTCCATGAACACAAAAAAAATCCCAAAAGATGAAGTCAAAAAATGCTGGGTCTAAGAATGCGGGTTCTTTTAGAGGCCTCATTTCTTTCTTAATATTTGGTTGGCCATCCTGCATGAAACAATTATTTACAGGCATGTTATCTTCAAATCATACCATTCAGAAGTATTAAAAAAAAAAAAAAAACACAGCTGCTCCAATGATAAAGTCTGATTCCAGACATGCTAAACTTAAGAGAAGTTTTGCAAATTGACATGGCTTGTTTCCAAACAACTCCCAGTTGGCATTTTAGCTTTGAAAATGATATTTATGGATGAATGCCCTCTACCCAGCAAGGCGGCCTTTCCCCTTGGCTGCAGGTAGTTTCAGATTCACTGGCTGCTCAAGGACTCTGCTCAGACTGCAGAATGATGGGATGTCTTTGATTTTCTTTGGATTTTCTCTCCTAAACAGTGTCATATTCTCCTTCCAACTCCCTAGCTGAGAACGAGCAGCTCAGTGCGGACCACGGCCCAGCACGGCCCCTCTTCAGCAGCCACCTGGCACGTGCAGACGTATGTGCCTGACTCAGTGCCAGGGAGCCCTCACTTGCAACAGAGAGAAAATCTGCCCCGACCTTCTGCCACGCGAAGAGCAAAGGAAAACTGGCTGCACAGTGAAACCTCAGCACCTCCGGCTCAGTTCATTAGTTATGCTTTCTGTCACAAATGCCAGTGGTGTTTAACAGCTTGTCTGGAGTCGTATCTTCTCTACAGCCGATTAGGTTGTACAGAAACATAAGACCGACAGAAGGAAGCGCACAGCAGTGTGAGCCTTTTTTCGCTTTGCAAACCTTTTTGCCCTCTGCCCAGGCATGCTTTTGTCCCTAGTTATTCCTCCTAGGAAAGCTGCCCCGCATCCGTGGTGCAGATCGGAGCTGTCTGCAGCAGTGTCTCCCGGGAAGGCTCTCGGCAGGCAGCCGCTGGAGAGGGACGAGGCCTGTTACCTTCAGCGTGACAGGCTGGGTGTTTATAGCAATCCTTCAGCTAGAGAGGAACAGGCTCCTGCGCTCCTGCATCGCCTACGAAAGGAGTCCACAGGACTGTCAGAGCCCACCAGCAGGTCTGGCAAGGCCCAACTTGACCCTACTCCTTTCCGAGCGTCTCGAGCTGGGACAGGCGCTGCAGAGCGCCCAGCGTTACCCGAGAGCATCCAAATCACACCCACCTGGAGGCTTCCCGGTCTGCATAACTGCACAGGGGACAAGTTGCAAAATTTAACGCTTAAACTCACACCTGTTTACAGTAACATGTCCTCATAATCATTCCTACCAGACCACTCTGACTAGATTTTGTCAGAGATAAAACATCAGACAGCAGATTTTGAGATTTAGCACTGAATTACACTAACGAATTTCCTTGGCAGCTTATTTCAAATTGGGTCAAGAGGGGATAGTCATCTGGATTGAAAATTAGTTGAAAAGCTAGTAAAACACAGGACTAAAGGGATCACCTAGTTCTGAATCAGGGCCCACTGCAATCCAATGAAAGTAAAAATGCTTTAGAATTATACTGAATTCTATCTTTAAAGCAATTGCAAAGTGAACCGATGAACAGCAATGCACTGGACTAGGAAGCAGAACTGGGCTATGACAACACAAGCTTGAGGAACACCAGCTTTCCCATTAGAGGACTCCATCTCCACAGATCTCCAAGTGCTTCACATCACATCTTGGCTATAAAGCACGAGGGGGAGATCCTGACGTACTTGAGCTGTCTGTCATTTGGAAGCACATTCAAGACACTTGTATGATGAACAGCTCATCCTAAGTTATCATCCCCTACAAGGTAAAAGAATACTGGTGCATTTAGAGTTACGGACAGTAGAGGAGCATGGACAAAACACAGTGGTGGTATTCCATCTAGGAGAGAGATGAACCCGTGCAGCTGAGACAAAAAGTAACCTGAAATACTCATAAGCTGTAAAGAGAGAGAAACTTGGAAAAAAGTAGTATCTGTATTGTCGAAGATAGACAGCCTGACTTGACTTTGTGGCAAATGACACCACTAAGGAAAGGAAAATTTGACTTGGGGGTGAAAAGCTACAGTGCAAAAATGTCCCTAGCTACACTAAGACTGCTGGAGCCTAAAATTCCTTCAAAAAACCCCTGAAGTCAAAGGAGTTCATGCGGTATGTCATGAGTATTGCTGACCCTGCCAGCAAGACACTAAACCAGAATCTATGAGATCGTTTGCTTGAATAAATAGATCAATTACAATTATGGTAATATATTCTAGCACACCAGGATATGGTATTATTCTTTACTTCCTACCTTGAAAGGTTGGATAATAATGCCATATGTTGATGAATAACTGCCATACTATTCCCCAAGAACACTTGCATATCAGTGGGGAATAAAGTAATTCCTGTATATTAGCAGGTACTGCATGAAGCACTACAGACTCCTTTACAGAGAGAAGCACATTATAGATACACGACAACATTATTACCAAATGAGAGTTATGATTTTGCTTTTTTTTTCATTTCAGATCCAAAATTAATTTGGTCTTTCTGTTAAAAAAGGAAATTTAAAAGTAAAAGAATACAAATAGCTATAAATAAAAAAAGTTGGCCTGAGATGCCACTCACCAGAAAAGACAGCAGAAATGGTTATTATTAATGGTTATTATCTGGTTATTATCAAGGCTATTATCAATGTTTGCACAATGTTTATCACTGACAGAAGAATAGACAATTTTATTTAAACTCTCTCTTCAGAAAAGAGATTTTTTTTTTAATTACACACATTAGGAAAGAGAGGTCAAGTTTGAAGTCAGCTGCTATTCTGGCAACAGAACATTTTAGCAGCTGTATGATTTCCGTATGAGTAAAAACAAGGAAAAAAATGATTGTACAAATAATTTGTAAACCTACATTATTCAAACTTTGAATTTATCTTGTTCTACTTCACTTCCGAACACATCTACCCCTTGTGCCTCCTAGGACATTCAGAGTCAGCCTCTAGAAATGTTGATTTCTATTGATAAACACAGCTATTAAAGACAGTCCTATTGTTATTTGCAAGCAGAGGGTTTTTTTTTTTTTTTCCTCTATGGCAACTTCCTTTATATCTAACCTTTTGCCAAACAGCAGGGTCAGCATTACCAGCTCATTCTCAACTCCAGCTCTCTCAATATTCAGTTTACTTGGGGAATAGGAAAGCAAAGGGATAAATTTCGACATAGAATTTAAAGGTTTTTAAAGGAACGGGGGACCAGGGACAGAGCTCTGGAGCCACAAATTGGAGCACAGCAGATGGCAGTCACGAACCCTGGCGGGGAACCAAAGCCACAGGTGGCAGAGCTTGGCAGCGCCAAGCTGCGACGCTGCCTACGGCGCTGTCATCATGAGAACTTGGAGGAGACTCTGGCCTGTCTTCTGTCCTCACAACAATTTGCACAAGAAAAATACAAGAAAACAAGAGATTCACACACAAGCAGTTTTAATACCCAGGCTAGCCACTTCACTTTGAGCTGCTTTCTGGCCTCAGTTAAGCAGATCAGGCTTGGGCAGCACCCGAGGAGGAACAGGAACGCGGCTGCAGCTGTTTGAAATAAGATTTTAAAACTATTTGGAAGCAGGGTCAAACTTGAGTTGATTAACCATGTGCAGATGATCAAAATCTCTTCCAGGCCAATCCCAAAGACAGTGAAAATTCTGCAATTACTTTGAGATGAGGATACCACAAGACAGTGCACTTGCAGATATTTAGCTAACACCAAACTGTAACAAATTGTTTACTTAAGGCAAACAAATCTCTGTATGTGTCATCTTAAATGGGCATAGGAGAGGTAGAAGCAGTGGTTGGCTGTGACCCCTGTGTAGCCAGGTAGAATGAATGTGCAAGTGACAGGATATTGATCATAATCTGCTTAGTTTCTATTAACGGTCATACTACTGTGAGCAAAAGAGAAACCCACCATGTCAAGAACAGAATTGGATGAAAAACACTGATAAAAGTCCACATAGGCAACACAAAATTGCTGGTTATCACATTTTGAGACTATGGGGAGCTACAGCATATGGTTGTTTTTAAATGAAAAACCAAGCTAGGCCTGTAACGGGAACACACCATTTATACATACATTCAATTCCAGACATACAAAATATACCAAAATATTTTCAATAACTGCACATTTCAATTATTTCTTCAAAACCATTTTTTTTTCATATCGATACACAGAAACATTTTCTATTCACTCATGTCCGTTTTTACTGTTCCGAATCCATTAGCAACCATGCAGTTACATTGAAATATCATTCTGTTGGGAGTTTTGAATCTGAAAAAAGTTATGTTTTAACTTTCATTGGATTAAAAACATTTTGCTTTGTTGTATTATCTTGAACAGTCATCTCCCCAAAGGAATAGGGAGGGAAAAAAAACCCTGCAAACACGCTGTTCAGCATTGCAGGGCAGGAGAGAAAGGATATACTTCAATTAAATTTAGACATAAGTGAAAAATATATTTCTATTCAAATTAGACTGCATTAGTCTTGGTTGCCAGCAATAACCTGTTCATGAGAGATGCATACGAACTCATGACTCCAATAAAAACATTTTTTGGAATCTTTTCTTCCCCCTATCTTGCAATTGAACAAGTTTAATGTGCCTTTATTTTTAGACTTATTTTTAAACAGAAGCTTTAGATCTTTCTATGCTAAGCTTCATCTGTAAAATAGATGTCTATTGCACCCTGAAGTGTTGCTTTACAGGCTTTTAATTTTGGTTTTAATATTGCTGAAATCATTAAACATTATGACATTAGCATCTCTTCATATGTAAGAGAAAAAAAACCCTTTCAATTCTTTTGGTGGTACTTCTCTTCCATTTTATATTTTACACATCTGCATTTTTCTCATTTTATAGCCTGCTTTTAAAAACAATTTAGAGTTAGAAGAAAGCTACTATAAGCAAATATTTATATGAAATCCTCTAAATTGCTGCTCATTTTATACCACATTTTGAGAGACTTTTGGTAAAAACTGCTTTTCTGAAATTTTGACCATTTTAGCATCCTTAAAGAACTAACACAGACAGACATTAAATTCAGCTTCAACATTCAAGTCTTCTACATGCAAACTTTCTCCAGTCTAAAGAAGGTTGCTTTGGATAACAACCCTTATCCTAATGCCATTCTGTTTAGTCTCATAATAAATCAGTAGTGCAACAATTCTCAGGTAAAACGGACAAACAAAAATCCTCTTAAGCAGTTTCATAACTAAAACTTATGATTATATCCATCTTATATTCAGTAAGACACTGTGAATTGCTGAGTAATGCAAATAAACTTGTCAAAAATCTCATTTTTACGTTGCATCCTTGATCTCTTTGTGCACCACACATTTTCGTTCTTCAATTCACAAAGTTCAGCTAATGCAATCTACCTATATGGAGGGCACACAAAAATCACTGCAGATGTTATTCAGGCTCGAACTTACATGGCATTTGTGGCTCATCTGGATAATAAAGAAAACAGAGCACGTCTCCTAACCAACGCCACATGCAGAACAATGCTTCTCACTTCAGTTATTTTATATAGATACTCTTAACAGTCTACATAATAACACCTCACTGCAAAACAAAGGGTATTATGGGACACACAGAGGAGAGTTTACCTGCAGTGTCACAATGTCTTGCCGAGTGAAGGGCTCATCTGTCAAAAGATCCTTGTAGCTCTTCGGTTTGATGTTCAGCTGCTCAACTGCCTGATGGCCACGTGAAAGACACAGATATTAAAAACAACAAAAAAAACCAAACAAAAAACCCCACACTCCAGTGTGTAAATATTAAAGTAAACATGTGGACAGTACCCAAACCTTAAAGATATAAATGACAAAAAAACATTTTCACCCCTCCATTTTCAACTAGCAGTTGCAGTATTTCCATTGTGTGCCTTAATAGAGATGAGAAGTCTTTATTTCATCTTTACTCAATTCAAAATAGGGTAAAAAAAAAAAAGCATTCCCTTCTTATACACATGATTTTAACCAAATTCCTCTTAAAAGTGGTGCCAAAGTAAAAAGCCTTGCTTGTAGCTTTCTAGGTCAAGTATTTTACAAATGGTGTAAGACAGGCAGCTTTACCAAGGGGTCCATATCTCCCCCTACCACTTCAGCATCTCCAGATCACCAAATTGCATTAGCCCCTCACACTCCATCCAGCCCCGCTGCTGCGCCCAGCCTGAACAATGCTTCTGTTCACCTGAAAAAATCAAATGATGCTCTACAAAGCAGCAGCAGGTTACTTCATAGTAAGAATCAATGTGGAATAAACACATTTTGACTTCACAACAGAAAAAAGACAACAGAAAAATTGTCTAGCAATTCAACCCAAGAGCACATAAAAGCAACTTATTTTGGTCAACAAATCTCCACAATATTTGGTCATATACAAATTATCTAGAGAAAAGACTTTAAAAAGTAGCTTTTATACTGTGTTCTGGGTTTACTGACATTCTGACGTGGGGTGTCAGTTTGTGTAGCCAACACATTTCATTTTTGTGTGAAATCAGTTCGTCTTCATATACTTTAATTTTGCTGGCTGTAAAACAAGAATAAACCCTACCCTTGCAAAGCTGCTTGTGATCTTGAATAAAATGCATCAAGAATAAAATATTAATAAAGAAATGCAAGCGAACCTACCTCATAGGCAAATACATTTCCAGTTGTCTTGATGGCCACAATATGGGAGTTATTGGTGAATACAGTGAACAGCACTGGACAGTGGTATTTACCTGAAAAGGTGGGAAAAAGCCTGAATGTGTCATAAAACCCTTATAACTGTTTTAAAATATAGAGTAGCTAGTTTTTCTTTGTGAAGACTATTTGCATTCCTTTTTAACATAAAATGCAACTTTACTATCTATTTAATGTTGTTTTAACTCATGTTCTGATTCTTCAGTGCTAAACAGGAAGAGAATTATAACTTAGGAAATGGAAATGCAGTTTTGAAATCTACTGCTGTCAATCTCCCAGCACAAAACTTCATTCAACACACTTGAAATCTACGAAGTCTCACAATATGATTATTATTGTTATAATCAAAGTTCTATTGAGAGCATGAGTCTGTATCTTCTAAGGGGCTCAGTGCTCCACTTCCAGTGTCGTTCTCAGGAATACAAGCTTAGTTTATACCCAACAAAAGTTCACAGCAGATTATGCCCTTTGAAAGCTGTTATGCTTTTAAGAGACGAGCGCATTTTGTATTCAAATGTGGCAAGCAGAATTCCATTAAATCTGAACACGTTATTCAATAAGGAACCCAGCTTCTGCTCTAATCAAGCTGTGAATTTTCCCAAGAGGGTCAGCATAAATATTAACCATGTCAACAACAAGTAAACTGATGGAAGCCAGCGGAGGAGGAAATGTAAAAATGTCTGGGTGAACTCAGTAGAAAGCAATTAAGAAAAGATTAGTAATACTTGATCAGTTTGCAAGACTGGGGGGTTTGGGTAAGGTTTGGAAATAAGTTAGGCCTATTTGGTTCTTTTCTTCCTAATTACCATCTGAAAATCAAAACCAGCAGGGGGGCCGGAATATGCACTGCTCACAGCACCTGCAAAGACAGGGAGAGCGAGCACCCACCGAGCGTCTGCCCATTAAGGAATCAGCCAGAGGAGGCACTCTGACCTCCGACACGCAGCAGCAAGTCAAAGTTTGCCTTTATTTTTGTTAGTGTCACCAGAGCTCAGGGAAACAGGGAGAAAAAAAAAAAGCCTGAAATTCAGGAGAAAGGTTAAAATAGATTTTCTAGATGAGGCATCAAGGTATGACCCAACTGATGGATACATAAACACACCAGTGAAATGGGAAGCCTCATTCCGGCTATATAAAACAAAGCAAAACACCCGGGACTTCCATTTTAGCACCAGTGAGGCTCGTGAGGCCACATATGTGCTGCTGATCTGAATAGAAGGTATTCAGGGAAATAAGAATCATTAAATGGAAGAAACTGCAATATCTGAAGACCTTTTTTTATTGGATAGGTGTGAACAGAAAAGATCTCATGTAAACAGCAACATTTCTATGTTATATTTTAAAGAAATACTTGCTGATAGACCAGGTACAGTATTTTTTACTCTTCTACTTTTACTGCATTTTCCTTTGATCTGTTAATGACACAATGTGCATGTTTTTAAGGGGAATGGATTCTGAGACTGCATGGTGCCAGCTTTCCACCCCAGCATCATTCATGAGACTTCTTTTAGGTCTTAAGGTAAGCACAGTGTCCTTCAAAACCCCTGGCCACACTGGCTACTGTCCACTCTTAACTCCTTGCTCTTGAGATACATGGAACACAAAACTTGGAAGAAACCCATCAGCTACAAGAGCCTGAGAACAGTCCACAGTCTATGGACTATGCTAGGATGAGAATTTTATTCCCACCTGATCCCTGTCATTTTCACTTCAAAGCAATCATTACCTACTTCACAAAGAGTGAGTTCATCTCAGTTCTTTTCTTTTATTCCTGGCATCCTTTCTTTGATGGCAGATTTTATATCTTTAGCCTGCAGAAACTCTGCATTCTTGTATACTGCTACTCATAAAATCCCATGTGTTCATTTAAGAAAAATTCATTTTATAAACAAAAAGTTGAATAGCAAATAATGCCAAAATTAACGTAGAGAAAGATAACAGTACAGACATCCAGCTACTTCTGAAATTCTCCCTTATAGTAGATAGTACCTTACTGCACAGTAGCTACGGTAAAGTGCAACTGTTGAATAGCTTCCAGCTCACCAGTGTAAGGAGACCAGAAAGGGGGATTTAAAGATAAACATGTAGATCACAGCAAGCAGTTATTCTGCTCAAAAAAGTAAATATAAGAGAGAACACAAGCTACACAATTTTACCTGTGTAGGAGATAAATGAATTTTTATTAAAGCATGCACTAAGGAAAACAAAAGAAAACAAAAACAAGGAAAAGAACACAGAAATTTACTGCACTTACCTTCACTGTTTTTAGCAAAATTTAGCTTTATAAGTGATTTGGCATCCAGTTTCTACAAAAAATAAAATAAGAAAAAAAGATTAATCACAACAGAATCTAACCACGGAAATAAAAGCAAACTGTGACATCAGTGTTGGTACTTTTATATTACGCAACTAATCAGTAATAAACTAAGTCATCTGAATCACCACAATCCTGGAAATTTAACAGTTATAGACAGCCCACAAAAACAACGCTCAAGAAACTCGAGAACTGGAAGATGATTTATTTACAATGTTGCAGTTTGAAACAGTACAGTGCTAAGACAAAGTGACTAACGAATTAAAGCAACTTTATCTTGGCATAAATCTAAAGGAGAGATAGCATAACAAAGATTATTGCTACTGCTCCGAAGGGACAATTCTGAAAGGACTCTGATAAAAGTCACAGAGACAGCAAGTCACTTTGGCACTCAAGCTTATTATTTTTTCTGAGGTAGCCTTCAGTTTTCCTTTCTTTCAGCAGACTTGTAGAGGAGCCCACTCGATAACTAGTAAGGTGATGACAGTAACGAAGAGAAGCAGGGATGGGCCTCGGGGGTCCGTGCTGGGGGCAGTCTCCCAAACGCAGTTTGGGAATGGCTGATCCCTGCAGCAATTCTGCGGATTGTGGGGCTGCGGTGAGGGCCAACGGTGGGAGATCACGCAGGCCAAGAGGGCCAAGGTGCAACCTGGATGCCGCAGGGGTGGCAAGTTGCCCTATAGCCAGTCCGGGTGCAGGATGTGCCGGGAGGGCGGGCAGTGCTCCCAGGCCAGGCCCAAACGTGAGCCCAGCTCGCAGCCGGCTTCAAAGCTGAGTCAGGACCTCCAGAATCCAAAAGCCCTTTGCTTGTATCAGCTGTCAGAAACAGTTTCGCTGCCAGATTCACCCTTAAAAGCACACGGAGCACAGGCCTTTTAAAAGAAACAAGCAGTTCTCTTCTCAAAACATGCACCTGAACGGATTAGGGATGTTCTTATAACCCAGACAGCTCTCTATAAACAGATCCGAGCAGAGACCTGCCAGCCGTGGCGCCGGCACCGCCAGTTCAGTCGCGCCGGCAAGAGGCGATAACCAAACCGTGGGACGCTACGTCAGGGGCTCTCCACGTCTAGTCAAACTCCATATTCTTGGTTCAGAGCACACACGTTATGACAGCTGGATCTGTTCCCCTGTCGGGAGGCACTTCTCCGGTTGTTTTTAGTCATCTGGCAGGCTAATTTGCTGCCAGGAAGGTGACTCTCTCTCTGGTTTATTAGCAAGAGGAACAAAGAGAGCCTGGGAGAGCTCGTAGGAAAACGAGAAGTGAAGAGAAAGGTCAGGATAGGTGATATTTGGTCCAACAGTTTGGCGCTGCAAGAGCAGTATTCTCAAGGAAAAAAAAAATGTGCACATTGCTGGGATAGAGACATACACAACAAAGCAACAGCAGTTCTCAAACGACTAAGTGAATACAGGATTTTACTCATTTACTTATTTAGCTTTTTACTAGAAAAAAATTGTCAAAGAAGTAGCAGGGAGATAGTGGAGGTGCCAAAATGAACATACGATCCTGGACAGATCTGTTCAGCCTAAACAACTTATTAACACAAGGCAGCATCCATCTGTGCCCATGTTGTGGAACAACCCAAAAAATTATGTGTAAAAAAAGAAAAAAGAAGAAAAAAAAAAAAGAAAGTTTCTTTAGAGAAATGACCTCTGGAAACACTGACATTTTAAAAGGAAGGCCTTTAAACTATCTTCTTGGCAGACTTCAGCTTTCCCCAAACATGTGAGCAGACCACCTTTAAGCAGAAATGCGAACGGTCCTCCAGGAAAGACTCTGGCACGATGGAAGACTCCGATTTACACCTGACAAATTTATTGGAACACAGAGGAAACTGCTGTACAGACCTCAGAAGTAACAAAAGCTGCAGGACACCTTCACCAGTCAAA